CCGGTCCCTCCAGCCGAAATGAGGTCAGGGCACTACAGTCCCTACTTCATTGTACCCAAGAAAGGTGGTGGGTTACGACCGATCTTGGATCTGCGAGTTTTGAATCGGAGCCTCCACAAGCTACCGTTCAAAATGCTCACGCAGAGACGCATTTTCGGATGCATCCGTCCCCAAGATTGGTTTGCAGCGATCGACCTGAAGGACGCGTACTTTCATGTCTCGATTCTTCCTCGACACAGGCCGTTTCTGCGCTTTGCGTTCGAGGGTCGAGCATATCAGTACAAGGTCCTGCCCTTCGGGCTGTCCCTGTCTCCCCGTGTCTTCACGAAAGTCACGGAGGGGGCCCTTGTTCCCATGAGAGAACAGGGCGTTCGCCTCCTCAACTATCTTGACGACTGGCTCATACTAGCACACTCTCGAGATCAGTTATGCGAACACAGGGACCTCGTGCTCACACACCTCAGCCAGTTGGGCCTTCAGGTCAACTGGGAGAAGAGCAAACTCGCCCCTGTGCAGAGGATCTCTTTTATCGGTATGGAGTTGGATTCGGTCGCACAGACAGCGCGCCTCACAGAGCAGCGCGCTCAGTCGGTGCTGAACTGCTTGAACACGTTCAAAGGCAGGACGGCGGTCCCACTGAAATTTTTTCAGAGGCTCCTGGGGCATATGGCAGCGGCAGCAGCGGTAACTCCGCTCGGCTTGCTTCATATGAGACCGCTTTAGCACTGGCTTCACGGCCGAGTCCCGAGAGGGGCGTGGCATCACGGCACTCACCGGGTGGCAATCACACCGGCCTGCCGCCAGACCTTCAGCCCGTGGTCAGACCTCTCGTTCCTTCGGGCAGGAGTCCCCTGGGAACAGGTCTCCAGGCATGCTGTGGTATTCACAGATGCCTCCGCCACCGGCTGGGGTGCCACGTACAACGGGCATGCAGTGTCAGGGGTGTGGACGGCTCCCCAACTGCATTGGCACATCAATTGCCTCGAGTGGCTAGCAGTACATCTCGCTCTGAGCCACTTGAAAAGGCCGCTACAGGGCAGGGACGTACTGGTCCGTACGGACAACACAGCGACCGTTGCGTACATCAACCGACTTGGTGGTCTACGCTCCCGTCACATGTCGCAACTCGCCCGCCATCTCCTCCTCTAGAGTAAGAAGCATCTGAGGTCACTTCGAGCCATGTATGTCCCCGGTGTGCTCAACCGTGTGGCCGACGAGCTATCACGAGCTGTGCTTCCGGGAGAATGGCGACTCCACCCCCAGGTGGTTCAGCTGATCTGGAGAGAGTTCGGAGAGGCTCAGGTAGACCTGTTTGCCTCTTCAGAGACCTCCCACTGCCAGCTGTTTTACTCCCTGACCGAGGGAACACTCGGCACGGACGCACTGGCACACAGCTGGCCCCGGGGCCTCCGCAAATATGCATTTCCCCCAGTGAGCCTGCTTGCACAGACACTGTGCAAAGTCAGAGAGGACGAGGAGCAGGTCCTTTTGGTGGCTCCCTATTGGCCCACCCGGACTTGGTTCCCAGAACTCATGCTCCTTGTGACAGTCCCTCCCTGGCCCATTCCTCTGAGGAAGGATCTTCTGACTCAGAGACGGGGCACCCTATGGCACCCGTGTCCAGACCTCTGGAAACTCCATGTCTGGTCCCTGGACGGGACGCGGAGGTTCTTGGTGACTTACCCCCTGAGGTACTTAACATCATCACTTCAACACGGGCGCCGTCCACGAGACGTGTTTACGCCCTGAAGTGGAACCTGTTCGTCGAGTGGTGTTCTTCTCGCCGAGAAGTCCCCCAAAGATGTTCGATAGGGTCTGTGCTTAAGGCTGTCTCCCTCCACCCTCAAAGTACATCCTGCCGCTATTTCAGCTTATCACGACCACATAGATGGCAAAACAGTGGGGAAGCACGACCTGGTCGTCAGGTTTCTTAGGGGGGCGAGACGATTAAATCCTCCTCGACCCCCCTCCATACCCTCTTGGGACCTTTCCCTGGTGCTTTGAGCACTTCAGGATGTTCCCTTTGAGCCTCTGCAGTCAGTAGACTTAAACCTTCTTTCCATGAAGACTTTGCTACTGGTTGCACTGGCCTCTGTCAAGAGGGTAGGAGACCTGCATGCATTTTTGGTTGACGAATCGTGCCTAGAGTTCGGGCCGGGTGACAACCATGTGATACTAAGACCCCGGCCTGGCTATGTGCCCAAGGTTCCTACCACTCCCTTCAAAAACCAGGTAGTGAACCTGCAAGCGCTGCCTTTGGAGGAGGCAGACCCAGCCCTGGCTTTGCTCTGTCCCGTTCGCGCTCTGCGTATGTACGTGGACAGAACTCAAAGCGTCAGGACCTCAGACCAGCTCTTTGTCTGTTACGGAGGCCAGCAGAGGGGAAAGGCTGTCTCCAAGCAGAGGATGGCCCACTGGATAGTGGATGCCATCGCCTTGGCTTACCAAGCACAAGGCGTGCCCTGCCCACTCAGGTTGCATGCACACTCCACGAGAGGCGTTGCATCCTCCTGGGCGCTGGCACGTGGCTCCTCGCTAACAGATATCTGTAGAGCTGCGGGCTGGGCGACACCTAACACGTTCGCTAGATATTATAGCCTACGTGTAGAGCCGGTCTCCTCCCGTGTTCTCACCCTAAACGGGTAGAAGCACCGAGAGGCCCGGCTCTGTCGGCTTGCTGCACCCTACTGTGCACCCTTATTGCTCCAGAGTGAAAAACCTGTTGAGTCCTCCAAAAACCCTCGGCCCGGACATGGCGGAGCGTCCGGTGCCAGGCCTTTATCCGCTGAATCCCTGAGAGCCGGATCTGGGCTGGGTTCCATATGTGTGACCCTACGGGGATCCCATGTGTGTATATTCTCCACGGCTGCTCCTAAGTCGGAAGCCCGTGTCTTTCCCCTGGGCTAAGTTCCCATTATTCATATGCAGTACAACCTTCGGGTTAGTCCATATGTTTTTCCACATAACTCTTTGAAGAAGTGGCTTCCGCAGCGTTCTCCTTCCTAAATAGAAAGGGCACGCTTTCCCAGTGTTATCCAATAATCTCACTGTATGGGTTGTTACGGAACAACAGTGACAGATACACTTTGTGTAAAGCCTCCTCCTATCGTCCTTCCAGGCAAGAAGGTGTAGAGGCTTGCACGGGGCGCTGGATGGGGTGCAGCAGCTGTGGCGCTTTGGTAGGGATTCCTATTGGTCAGTCTGACCTACGTTGTAGTGACTGACCGATAGGGAACATCTCGGTTACATATGGTAACCCTCGTTCCCTGAGGGAGGGAACGGAGACGTAGGTCCCGTCGCCACATCTGCTGCCGCCCGCTGGGGCGGCCAGCTTTTTCAGGTTTGGCTCCTCAGCAAAAAACTAGTGTGCAATCACAACAGCTGCTCGTTAAATACCCGCGCTGCGAGGCTACACAGCTGATGCAAATGATTGCACGCCAATGTGCATTGGCTTGTTTTAGTTTCACTCGAAGTAGATTGGCCTCTCTAGCGAGATTCCTATTGGTCAGTCTGACCTACGTCTCTGTTCCCTCCCTCAGGGAACGAGGGTTACCATATGTAACCGAGACGTTTTGTATCTTTTTCAAAATACACAAACCCAAAACTGATTTTTTTTTTTTATCATCATTTACCAGTATGGCTGATTATACTTTAAAGTTTGAGGTCGGTAAGATTTTAGTTTTTATGCTCACCAAGGCTGCATTTTTTTTAAATCAAAGGTACAGTAAATTTTTTTACATTAAATTATATTATTAATGATAATAATAATGTGAAATCATGTAATATTGTGAAATATTATTGCAATTTAAATGAATGATGTTATATTTTAATATATTTAAATATAATAATATAATTTATTCCTGTGATGGGAAAGCTGAATTTTCAGCATCATTATTCCAGTCTTAAATATGCTGATTTGGTGCTCAAGAAACAATTATTATTATTACCGGTAATGTTGAAAACAGTTGTGATCCTTAATATTTTTTTTGTGAAAACCATGATACGTTTTCGGAGTTTTGGAGTTTGTTGATGTTTCTTTGAGTTTGTTAGGGAGGAGTTGGTTGGAGTTTGTTGGTATTTTTTGTGTGGATTGGAGTTTGTTGGTATTTGTTGGAGTTTGTTGGGAAAGAGTTGGTTGGAGATTGTTGGTATTTGTTGATGTGTATTGATGTTTGTTGGTGTTGATTGGAGTTTGTTGATGCTTGTTGGAGTTTCTTGGGGTTGGTTGTAGTTTGTGGATGTTTGTTGTAGTTTGCTGGTGTCTGTTGGGGTTTCTTGGTATTTGTTGTAGTTTGTTGACGTTGGTTGGTGTCTGTTGGAATTTGATGGAGTTTGTTGGTATTTGGTGGTGTAGTTTGTTGGGTCACTGTGAATTGGCCTTATTGGGTAAACATGCAGTGATTGCCCAATATATTTCCGTTCCATTCTCCATTGTAATAGCTTTCTATATTTTTTTTAATAACAAACTGAGGGGCAAGTCCAAATTATTTTCTGTACATTGGCAGAAAATAGTACATATAACCCAGAATATTCCAGCCAAATATGCTAAAATAATTGACAAAACACCATGATTTAAAAAATATGATAGCAAAAAAAAACACAAAACAGTATAACAATGAGGTGGTTCACTTCTGTGTGTGTCCTACACTGGCTTTCAGAGTGTGTGTTAAAGGTAATGGTGCAAAGTCTCTGCATTAGAAGCTCAGTGTTCAGCCATTTCATTAGCATTGAAGACACAGGGTTCCTTCAGAGTCTTTTCCAGCTCTTGCTGGATGTTCATTCTTTGAATTTCTGCATGATTTAGTTTCTTTCCATAAACCCTTTTGCTTCCCGGCTGCATCACAGCTATAAGAAGCACTTTATGCTGATGACTTTGTAAATCAATGGCGGGAATACATTTATCTGACTAATTCCGTCCTAGTAGTTAGCTCATTGTTTTTAATGCATGAATCCAGCAGTTTTAATTTCAGTATATCTCTCTCTATTTTGTCTCTCTGAAGGCCACTTCTCACATGTGTTGGTCAGTGATGCAGAGCGTGGTAACCATGGTGACGACTCTACAGGCCTGACTCCTGACTGTTCGCCTCCTTCACCTGATACGGCCCTGAGGAATATTGAGAGAGTCATCCGCCCCCAGGTACACACACACATACAGGAACACACATCCACACAGAGTCTATTATGTTGCTCTGCTCTCAAGGTTAATGGTGCTCTTTTAGATAAAACGTAGTCTGGCTGTAACTATCGCAGCATCTGTGTGTGGGAGTCATACACACATGCACACACACACACTCTCTCTCTCTCTCTCTCTCACACACACACGCACACACACACACTCAAGAGCAGTAATGTCTTACATCTACGCTGAGATACTGAGCATTCTTCATCTTAATTATATGGCTATTATAAATATGCACATGCCCGACGGGCGGATTCTCTTCATGCTTTGATATGCAATTGTCCCAAGCCGCCCTCATTTTCACTCCTTCAAACTTGAGGGGTTTTATTTGATTATCATCAGTTACAGTATAGTAATATCAAGCTTTAGTGTTCCCAAAAAGTGCCTGGACACTTAAAAAGGCACGCTTAAAAGTGTATGAAAGTAGTTGCATTTACCAAACCAAGTGGCATTTAATAAAATTAAAAAAAAGAACAGAGGCACACCAAGCAAAATATTATAAAAATGTATTATAAAAATTATCAAATGTATATTGTTTTTTGTTCATTAATTATATTAATATGAATTATAATTTTTGTGATTATTAGAGTATGTTTTGAAAGAAAATACTATTTAAATTTTTCTACTTGAAATATTGTTTAATTCAACGTTGTACTTTCCTTTTCTTTGTAATTATTTGTGAAATTTACTAGAAATTTCTGAGTGCCACAATTCATGCTGACAAAAGAAATTATACAAATCATTCACAGAACAAATACCCACCAAAAAAGTACTGAATGCAATTTGTATGCTGCAATCGTCTATCTTGCGATTCTGAGAACTTGGTTGTGGAAGATACAGAATGATATGACATACTTTACTGAGACTCTACAGAATCAGTTTACCACTACGATCTGCAGATAGTCCCTGAATAAACTGGATTGCAAGTGGTTATTGAAAAGGTATTACCAACTAGAATTAGAAAAAATGGCTCAGAGTAATCTAATTAGATCTGAAAAAAAAGCTTTAGCATCATTTGCTCGCAGATGCCATATGGTTTTTATATTATATACAGTATCTAATATAATTGAAATGGTTTGTAACTGTGGCTTAGGTTTTCAAATTCTGTTTGAGGCCACTTTATATGATGGTGTCTCTCTCCTGATAAGTCTCTTTCTCTCTCTCTCTGCTTGTGACTTATTATTCTCTTAGAAGAGTGTGAATGGGCTCTTTATTCGTCCCTGTCAGAGTGCTCAGTGCATCCTATCAGAGTCATGTTTGTCCTCTTTTCAGATGAACACAATCACTCGTTTATCTGCGCGGGCCTGACTTTGGGCCATGCTGCTTGTGTGCTGAGCGCCCGCAGGATTAGAAAGAGACACAACTGTGCATGTTCTCCCCCACTGTCTCCAACAACAAACTCCACAATGCCCCAGTCAGGCACATGACGTGTGCTGTCTGCTTTTTCTAAAGATTTATTTCATTTTTTCCAGTCCATCTTCAACTGCTGGTTAATAAGTCACATAACGTGACATTTTCTCCCTATTTTATGGCTTTTCTATTTTTCATTTCAGATTGAGTTGCGAAGCTACGCAGGCAAATGTGCCAAATCTGAACTGATTTTTCTCTAAATGTGGGTTTTGAAACTAGTAGCGCTTCCTTTTGCGTTGTATCGCTTCAAAATGCTCCATGCATGACACTAAGCATGAGCTAACAACTGGTTTACAACTGGTCACTTTATGTGTTTTTACTGATCAGATAGCTGTCTGATTTCTTAAAACGGTTCCATTTACACATGGCGTGTAACACATGTGTCTCCGCAAAACGATTGTAGAATAGGAATAGAATAGGAATGCGTCTCAAATCACCTCCTGAAGCGGTTTGAGCGATCAGATTTAATTCCATCTTGAAAGTTTTTCGGAGGGCATTTACACCTGGTCTTTTCATGATAAGATAGCTATCCGATCACAGAAAGCGACCAGGTGTAAACAGGCCTGAAATCATCACACAGCACTCATGATCACTGAAGTGGACTGCCATCAGAGGTGATGCGGGCTCCCGCACACTGATGGGACAATCGAGCTCCTCGTTTGCTCGATGCACAAGCAGAGTGGAGTCTAGTCACGTCTGATAATCAAATGCTACGGCTCATCCAGGTGTGCCTCTACTTCCCGAGGGAGAGAGGAAGAGACTGATGCGGGATCATTTGCCTCTAGCTTCATTTAAATCACAGCATAAGGCACCATTGATGAAGTGTCCATTTATAAGGAGGTGTAACCTAGAGGTAAATGACCCGGGCTGGTAACTGTAAGGTGGTAGGTCTTTGAGCTGTCATCAATCAAGATACTTAACCTCAAGCTACTCCAGGGAGACCTTTCCCTTCATTTAAAATGGCGCCGCTCCTCTGGTGACTTTGTGTGCTGCAAGCTGCTGAAAAAAAACATCTCCAATAATATTCTATTCTATTCTATTCTATATTACATTTATATCACTGTGGGGCAGAAACCTTGTATCTCCATATTGTGTCTTTTTTTTATTTTTTTTTATAAATTATTTCTACTGGTCCCCCTTTACGTCTGTCTGTGGGTTTTGCAAATATTGAGCCAATGAAAAGTATTAAAAAGAGCTTTTGACTAAACCTTGTAACTCCATTGGTCAAATGTTTGTTAACCCCGCTTCTATCATGAATGAAGTGCCTCACGCAGTTTTGACCATTTTACTTGTTTGCAATGTAAAGAGCTGGTTATTTGACTAAGCCAGCATTTTCTTTACTTTAGAAACACTGTATAAATGCTTATGTTTTATGTATTTGAGGAGTAGAGAAGAGTGTTTTAGTCTAGCATTTGCTCTCGAATCATAGCCAATACTGTCTTAAATAGCCTGTGCGTAGCACTTCATTTTTAATAACATGAGATTCTGGCCAAATGACAGAAAAAACTGAGCGCCCACATAGCTACAGTAAACACAGTAACCTGTAAGTTGATGAAAACGTAACGCGATGCACTTACTGCCTCAGATGCGGCCGTTCTAATGACGGACAAAACACGTATGTAACTTCATTTGCTCTTTTGGTAAAATGTTAATAATCTAATTGACCATAATATAAATCTGACCATATATAAAGCCGCAATGTCAACTTTGACAACATGTTTGTGGAGATACAGGTTTTCCGCCCGGCAGCGACGATATATAAGCTTTGTTCCATAACCCATTGAACTGCACACCTAGACAGCATTTTTAGGCAGCATAAGCTTGCAGTCGTAAGACAAATACATTCTATTCTATTATCTTCTATTCTATTCTACAAATATAAGCAATATTCCAAAACTGAGTGAGCAGCCTACCTACTAGTGACAGAATAATTATGATATCTTATTTTGGTCAAAATCTAAAGCACACACTTTCAAGAAATCTTTTTGATGAAGACATTCCCATTTAATCCATTTAATCCGAAACTAAAACGTTTCACTCAATATTAGTGTGTGCCGTCATGTATATTTGTCTTGTTAGCTTAGCAACATGCTAATTTCAAACTGTTTTGGAATCAGTTGATTCCAGTAGAGTTTAACATTAGAATGTTCCTAAGCTAACAAGACAGTTTATTTTTAAACATTAAAATACAAATAATGTGCTAATCACTTCTGAGGTTCCATTTGAACAGCAGGCAGTTCACTAGAGTAGGTCTTGAAACAGACCTGTATTATAATTTTAAAACTGCTTTTTGGACATTGTAACAATTGTGTTTTACCTAATTTAATTTCTTGTTTAACAAGGCTTTCCGGTAAAGAATTGATTCTTGATCTGAATCGGCCTGGCAGAGGACAAAGCATAATTAAATTTGGTAAAAAAATGTAATTAACCTTTGTAGAAAAGCAGAATGACAGTGAAATGTGTTCTTTTGTGTGCATGAATGTGGACAGTAGGAGCTCTTGAGCTGTAGTGGGGACAGAAAATCCTCTTGATGCTTTATCAGCTATATTTACACACACACACACAGACACACACACACACAGACACACACACACACACACACACACACACACACACACACACACACACACACACACACACACACACACACACACACACACACACACACACACACACACACACACACACACACACACACACACAGCTGTGTTTTTGTGATATATGAGGACATTCCATTGGCGTAATGACTTTTATACTGGACAAACTGTATATTCTATCCCCCTACACTGCCCCTATCCCTAAACCTACCCATCACAGGAGACATGCTGCATTTTTACATTAAAAAAATAAAATTGTTTTTTATGTTTTTTAAGCTATTTGAAATATGAGGACTCATGCAATGTCCTCATATATCACGTGTAAGTTGTAATACCAGTGTAATATGCATGTCATTATACACATTTGTGTCCTCATATATCACAAAAACAAAAGCACACACACACACACACACACACACACATAAACACAACCACTGTTATACTGCTGAGCTAAAGACTGCATTTCTGTAGTCAAGTGTGTGCTTTCTCATTTAGGTTTCTTGGGAAAGAGTATAAATACTTTTAAATACTGAGGTTAAAGAGCACAAAATACAAAACTGTCATAAGACTATTCTGTCAGCTTCAATGTAAATGTATTGAGATTTGAATAACTGCAAATACCTCGGATATTCAGATCAAGTGAGTGAGTGTTCACTCATAGATTTAGAGTGTAAACGGCCACAGGAAGTCGCTTTTCTTTATCTTGCACATCTGTTTTTCACAAGTCTATAGGCACAGATCTTTAGGTGCTTTAGTTTGTGTGTGTGGCATACAGCTTATCTGTGTTGAAGCCCAACTGTGATTAATTTAGCTGTAAGTGGTTCTGATAATCTTGCTGCCCTTTCTGATAGTGCAAGATCCTGGTTACATTTATGAAAATGTACAAATTACATTTTTAATTTAGTAAAACAAGTTATTATGGGTGCATATATATATATATATATATATATA